ACCCCCACGCAGCGCGGCCTCCCGCCTCTCGAGTCGCCTCTTGTCCACTTTGACGGAGTGCCGGTGAAGCTCACTACAACGGAATTTGTGCTTCCATTTAAATAGAGTGACTTCTGTCTGTTGAACAGCAGTTTGCCAATCGGGAGCTTCCTTACTGCTTAATATTCGGTATTGAAGTTCTCGATTGGAAAACTGCATACCAACGGTCGAAAGTCACTCTATTTAATGGTACGTTTTATACTTATAAGGCAATAATTATACATGTGCCTGCTTTTAATTGTCTGTCTATATTTTGTTTGGAAACGTCCTTTACAAACTGCCATCATGATTTTGCATTAATGGGAGTTACTTTCTGTCAATGACATTGCCAATTATTACAGTATTTTCAGTTACTCTATACGTACAACATTATTTTGAATCAGTCACTACAAAGCGAGCACTACAATGCATGCATAAACTTTAAATATATCAGTTTTTTCTTAAATGTTGCTTGTTTTCAGAAACATTAGTGTTCGTGTTTCTTCCTCGCTTAATTTTATCTTAATCTTTACCTTTGTTATAAAATGTTAAATGAAATATTGAACAATGCCCCGTATTTTTAACTTTATAGCATTTTAATTAAATAGTATTAGAAGATATTCATACAAACACATTTTGGATCTTCAACGAAAACTTCCTCATAGTGGATAGGATGCGAATTGTGAGGCGCATCGGCATAAAGTACTGGTGGCAATGTTAACCGAAGTACGTGTGTGAAAAAATAGAGAAATGACAATTCGTATAGTCAACCCTAGAAAACATTACCCTCCGACGACCATTTAGAACACTTTCCTTCCTTACATATTAATTGAAATTGTGTGATAGTGATATACATTTATTACAATTAACTCATACTTAAGCACGTGTAGTACAGAATGGAGGAAAATCTATTTGTTTTTAATCTAACTATGCGAAAAAAAGGTCGAAATAGATAGGAACTTGAATTGAATAGGAGCAACATTTGGCATGGAAAATGATTATACAACTTATTTCCAAGTAGCAACTCACAATTTACTGAGATATGTCCCACCATTAAAAAAACTGTGTGTAACTACTACAGTTGAAGTTCATTTTCACAAACCACAAAAGCAAGAAGGCCAATCTGTCACTTACCTTTTGAAAGCGCAAACAACGTCTGGCGCGGTGCGGTGCGCGGCGGTGCGGTGCGCGGCGGGGCGGGGCGGGGCGGGTGGTGCCCTGCGTCACCTAAGCCTCGCCCGCAGGAACGTCCCCCGTCCCCCACCCCCCGTCGCGGGGCTGCTTCCGCGAGGCAGCCGGCGCGGCGCATAACAGAGGCTGGTGAATAAGGAAGTCGAATGAATAAAGGAGCCCCTCCGCTCTTCGGGGACGATCCGCGACCTGGTTTGGCCGAGGCGTCGGCGGAAAGATCTCTTGCGTCCCGGGCCTCGCCGGCTCTCGTCCGCGCGAGTCACGTCTGTTTTGAAAAGTAAAAGACAAATTGGGCTCTGCTCTGAAACGCGCCTTATACATTTCATTCATTTCCTACGGATGTCAGGCTAAACATTTTTAACAGATACTGAGCTTTTAAAATTCAATTGCAATTTATGAAATGAGCTAGCTTTTGTCTAGTCCGATTTTTAAAGGCGGCAGTTCAACCCTCTAGTAATTATAAGTTTTGTCATTGATCTTCACGAACCTTTTTCTATAATTATTTCTATAATTGATAACTGAGTATCAAACATCTTGAGAATTTTGGAGTGTAAGCTCAGTTACAAGAAATATTGAATGAAATTGAATATTCATACTACACATGAATTTTTAAGCTTGACGCTCACACGTAGAAAAAAGTGTAATGCGTGTTTTGCTAAGATGATGAACGATGCCTTATCACGCGGAGAATTTCATCATCATCATCATCATCATCATCTTCTTCTTCTTCTTCTTCTTCTTCTTCTTCTTCTTCTTCCGGTGGGTCGCACCGCCTGGAGCGAAGGCTCCTTTGCTCCCAACGCGTTACATCGCCCTTTGCTCCTTTGATATAGCCATAAAATTCACGACGCAGCAGGGGCTTGATGTTGCTTCGATAATGGTAACCACCACCTCTTCGATATTCCTGCCACGCATGATTCTTACGCGTCAGGGGTGCTGCTCGTGGTCCATATTTCCACCTGCAGTGCACAATGTTGACTCAAACGATTGATTGCACGCACTTTACACTTTTTCTCATCATCGATGTATTCCACAGAAAACTGATGTATATCCACTCTGAATTTTGTATTTTATAGTTCAAATTAATAGTAGTTTGCTTTCGAAAGCACAGGAATGAACTTTATGAATGTCAGGAAAGCTTATTAATGAAATGAAAAAATGTAAGTCAATCTTCTACTTTAAAATTACGTAGAAAATTATGTATTAAAATTTTATTTTCTAATTTTTTTATCTTTAAATTGAACTGGCTACTGTTTTACAATGGCTATTCTTTCTTTAATTAAATGCAAACTCATAATACGACCGAAGATAAAGGCAAAATTCTAAGAATATATTTATTTATCAGTTATCTACCTGAAGACACATTTCTCGTATTTCGTCGTGTAGATGGCCATCATTTTACGACGCACTTTTCGAATCCCTAATAGCATCGTTGATCTAAATTAAACCTCAAAAATAGATGAGTAGCCGTCTTCCAATTACTTGCAAATTGTAAGATTTCTTAACCTTGTAAGATAACTCAAAATTCCTGGTAGTCGACGTCAGCCAGTGAATACCAAGGGTTACAATATTTTAAACTACTCGAAACGCAATTGAACCGAAGCTTACGTGATCATTTAAAGAATTAAATTTATGAATTCTAAAGTGCATGTTACTCTCTGCCCTTTTTCCCATCTCATTCTACGTACCTCGCCGAACCGCCCTTTGAAAGTTCCTATCTTTTGCCCCAAACGCTTCCATCTCAATGGAAAACGTGAATGGGTTGCTGCGTTGCCAAGCAAACGCCTCCCCCCGCCCACTCACACACGTGCGTCGGTGGCAACGTGCTGTGCACGGCTGCGAGCGGCGTCCGGGCGCCCCGCTCCCACCCCCTCAACTCCTCCGGGGGACACCGCCCGGCCACCGTCCGCCCCCGCCACCGCCCTGCCGCATCCCTCTCTCGCCCTTTAACCCCCTGCTGGGCCACGTGACGCGCGGCGAGCAGCGCTTCTCAGGGGCCTCGCGAACAGACGAGCTGCGGTGGCCAAAACGGTCGATCGCTTAGTTTGGCCAGTGCACTGAACTGAGTCTGTTGAGACCAAGAATTGGGAACAGTAACATAACTTTTTTAAACAGAAAGAAGAGGAGCTGGACAAAAATACTGATGTCCGAATTAATTTGTGACATATGATCGTTCTTCGTCCATTGTTGTCGAAATACATCCGCCTATACAACACTTTAAGAAATGTCTACATGTTGTTAAAATATTTACACACAGATTGATGCTATTATTTTCATTTTCTTTTATTAAGTGTATTTGAAAAACACAAAGTTTTACGAAGAAATAAAACGCAAGAGTGTAAAATTTAAATTTGTCAATTATTATGTTTTTCTGAACTGCAAAATTAAAACGTAAGATCATTTTACATAAATAAATAGAAACATATATTACAATTGGTGAAAGTAAACTTCTTTCTGTGTGTTAAAAGGTTTCATAATAAACATAAACAACAATTATGCTGATTGAATTATATTCTATTAAAAAGTTAATACTTCTCGAAATTATTTGATTGGTAACACAATGTATCTGTACATATTAAATGCCATGATATTATGTCTTAAATGTACTTTCAATGTTTTTGTAATTAATGTAAACAAAATGTCCTGTAAATAAAAAAAATTAAATTTCATTCTGCCATTTATTTGAATGCCCCGCTCCCACAACAGCGCTATAACTCTCTGGGTGTCGAAATTTAGAAACTGTAAGTAACAGTGACTGCTCTTTCTGCTAGGTAGCAGTAGCGTTGCTTGCGGCACAGGTAGTACAACTGTAAAAACATAGTCATAATTCACCGAATTGGTATAAACTAAGCGTATACGCTATATGAAGACTACAATGTTCATAATTTGGAGAAGATGGCTTTTTAATTGCTACTGTATTGAAATCATCCATAGAAAGCATAATTTTTGAACAGAACTTTAATTTCAAAACAAGCCATATTTTGCTCTGGAGTGTTGGCTTACCTGTATCGATGAAAGCAGGCTCCAGTATGGCGACGAGTCTGCACTTGACAGTTCGTGATAGTAACGATATTTCATGAAGAACGAGGTGTTATAAGAGAGTGACGGTCCAAATGTGTACGATACTCCTATGTCTTACATCTCCGGTCCTTGGCAGATGAGGTTTAATACACGAAGTTTGCATTTTCCAAAAATCAATAGTGTTGTGTTCTTCCGTAGGGAGATCTCACAAGAGAAGCTGTGTCTGGGGCCCTGGGATCGGGAGTGATATATGAATACGTAGATTTCCTTAAATGTAGTGTTTTACTTTTTTGTGTTACTTGATGTGCAAGTGGATATTCAATCTTTGAAGTGTAAAGAAGTGATAGTGAATTAGTAGCGCAGTTATTAGATTTTTATATTTACAAGAAAGGCTGGATATCTAATTTGATGAGATGCAGTTTGACGCTTGATACCGTGGAAAGGTTAGTTTCATCAGCTTTTACTGCATGTTTATGCGTCACTATTCTAGTTCACTAATATGTTTTTCTATTATATATTTAATTTTACTTTACCGGTCAACTGCTGTCCTCGGAAAGGGCATCGAATTTTCTCTACGTAAATAATGGTTACTAAGGCTTTCTACTTCACAGTTCTGTTTCTGTCTTTAGGATGCCTACTCGGAATTTTAGTTTGTTTTTATCATGTGACAGATCGTTGTGCCTTTCGTCAGGGACTTCGAGGAACTTGTTGCTCGCCTGCAATTTATGTGCTACAGTCATGCGACCGCTATCATGCTTTTCACCCTAACACATTGCTTACAATGCGTGCCGCAATTAGGAAGTAAATGTCTACGAAGTCGATCTTAAAAATATTTTCTCATTTCAATCCAATGTATCAGATCTCGTCATGCTTCTTCAAATCATAGACAAATGTATTTCTGAAGATTAAGACCGCGAAACTCTGAAAAACAATTCTCTTTATCAATTACTAGTTCTACGTTAGTGAACGAAACTATTTATAGCATTGCATATAGTTTCGAATAATTTTTTTTACGACAATCGGTCAGCAATTTTCTTTACATTTAGCATTGCACCTTCGTGTCATTTTACATTGTTTGAAAGTTCCTTTATCTTTGTAGCATTTTATTGTCTATGTCGCATTAAATTTAATATGAAGTTAATATTCGGTATTCAGTTTATATCAATTATATATCCAATTACCGAAAAAAAGTTTATTTCTTAGCTCAGTGACTAGAAGTAAAAAAAAAGTTCCTTTAGACACTTTTTAATGACATTCAAATTCTCTGTAATTAAGAGAAAACCATTTATTTAACATTTTTGATCAACTAGAATATCATTAATGCAAGGTATATGTTAAAAGATATCTAGGAATTTCTTGAATTATTTGTGACCCATACTGAACATTTCTCTGGCAAAAATAATTTTATTCATTTGTTTTCATTTTCCAACAATGTGAAGATCATTTTTTCCCCTACTTCGTTCGTATTTTTTTAATCAGTTTATCCATGTTTGAAAAATTAGGTCTCAAAAGTCATTGTTTATTTGTACGGTTTTATTATTAGTTCTACGTACTGTATGAAAGTTACTATTCTTCCATTTACTAAACGTATGAATTATATTGAGAAGATTTCATATTTAAAGTGTTTTTGCCGCAGATTCGCATTTCTCAGAAAGCGCCATGCTAAAGTCATCGTGGCAAATTAAAATTTGTTCTTAGTTTTTCTGCGACACCGTTCTCACTTGTAGTTGACAACTGACGTTATGCGACGTAGATTTTCAACCACTACTTACAACAACCACCATAGTACAATAATCACATAACGTATTTTTAAAATTACAGTTGCAAACGAACGTTTATCGTTCAGGTTAGAGGAATCACTCCGAAAATGAACATTACAGTTGTCATGAATAATGAAGCAAAGATTGTGAATCATTTTACAATTGCAAAAGATCGTTCTGTTCAAATTAAAACATGATCATACGATTCGCTGTTCTGTGAAGATAGTTTTGAGTTTCGCTTGTTTCAGAGATTTTTATTATTATTATTATTATTACTATTATTATTATTATTATTATTATTATTATTATTATTGTTGTTGTTGTTGTTGTAACCCAAAACTTAGTGTTTAAATAATAAGAGTATGAGTAAATTAGTAAGTAAATAATTAGGAAGTCAACAATTTTTCAAACTATATAGAATGGGAAAATAAAAGTATTTACCTTAATAAAACAATATTCTTCTAAGTTGTGAAACGGTTCTATTTTGCGATTATACATTACTAGGTTGAAACGCTCGCGGACTTTGAGTGAAGAATTGAAACAAAACAAAATACAATAGAGAATATATATTTTATAGCGCTTTTAATTAAATCAAATGACCTGCCAACCGCCTCTACGTGATCTGGGATCTTTAATGTGGGTACAAATCTTATGGGGAACCGCCACAATCCTGGCTGGTCGTAGATTGTGGGGATTCAATTTGGAGATTTACTCGCTCATCAACCTTTAAAATTAACGTTCAACCTTCTCTGTAGTTAGTGCGAGGGACTTAAAACTTGTACTAAGTGTTAGGCACTAAATTATTTATGTATGATAATGGAGATGAAGATATATCTGAACCTGTTTCGTATGGAGAGTTTCATTTGAGTAGATTGTAACGCTTCTAAGATTTTTTGTAATTTTTTGAAAAGTATTATGTATATTTTACATAATCACTTTCATCATATTGCATTTTGATGCAAAAGATGTGTATGGAAACGTTCCACTACCTGAATAATAAACAATTTGTGTAGCCGTCTTGATAGAGCAGTGTTTGTTCCATTGTGAAATAAATGATCTGGTTTGACGCACCTTTTTAAATAAGATCAGTCACTGGAAATGATAATATTTTCAATTGAAAATTATTATTGCCGTCTTACCACATGTTGCATCTTGCAGCAGATACTGCGTTTATATACTAGAATGCTTGCCAGTAATGATAAGTAACAATAATAGGCTACGATGGCAACGATAGACGTATAATTCACTCATGTTGCAACCTCCGACACAAGCGTTCGTTTGTGGTCCTAAAAAATATTACATACGAGTATATCCTACTATTACCTTGTCATCTGAACGTGAGTGTTAGGCATGTATACCATAAAATATACCAGTAGTTCATTAACGTTCTCATTTACCAACTAGGTGTCCCGTGGTATCATACATGGACATTATAAATTTTGCATGAAATAAACGTTTTTTATAATATACAGAAATCCAATTTTTTGTATAATTCACTCCATTAATAGATTGTGAATAATACTCTATTCAAAAAGTAGGTTGCTCTGATTTCAATGAATAAATAATAACTTGAAGCTGCTTTAAATTTTCTGTAAAAATTGCATTTTTTTTCGTCTCGTGAAATGGTAGGGCCAATTATTTAATAAGAAAAATGAATAGGTTGTTTAAACTTCGTGTTTCTTGTACGTACATTAAGCCGTTATTTTAATTTTATTTTTTAATTTTTGCTGAGTGTAACATTTGTCTTGCGTTATGAAGATTTTATATTTATAAAAAGAAAGAAAGGTAAATTCTGGTCGATTTCATACGATTCAGTCTATTGTAAATATTCAAGGATTTTTGACATTTTGCAAGTAGAAGTTTTCGAACTAACCTAAACATCAGTACGTTGTTTCCTAGTCCATATAACTGTCTAAATTGTCGCCGGTTTATTATGTGTGAGATTTTCTAATAGTTAAATTTTGAAGCATGCAAGTCATACCAGTAATAGTTCTTGTTGTGTTTAAATGATTATACAATTCATTATTTCTCCATGACGGTTGAACTAAGTGGAAGACAGCATATTCCGTCGTAAGTTAAAAAAATGATTTTTGTGTTTTAATTTGCAAAATCGTGATTGTGCATTAATGTATCATAATCAGTTCATCAGTACTGATGATTTCAATAGTGTGTTACAAATAGGTACTCTCATCAGTCTCCTTCTGAATATAAAGTTCCAGTTTTTAACGCGAAACGTCAGCCTCGCACATTTCTTTTCATGTCTGTTCACCGAGTGTGTTCCCAGTATTCCAAACATTTGCATGAGGTTTCAACGTTTCAATGCTTCATTTTATTCCCATTCTCTCGGAGTACGTCTGTATTTTAGGAATGTTGATCTTTCTCTCTGCCGTTTTTAAGGCTCGTGGTATATTTACGTATATCACAGTATTGAACTTCTAACTGCTGTTTTCCAAAGCCACACCCGTAGGATCGCCGATGTGGAGTGATATTCTGTGAAAGTGTGGTGAATAGATCCATTGCGTTGGAGAATCTAAAATTAACAATAAATGTGTACTAGAACAGATCTACATGAAGTGCACTGATCGGAAGAGAGAAATTGAAATAGTAAACTTTCATTTGATGTAGCTATCTTACGAAATAAAAGTCCACCATGAGGTATGACTTAAACGTGTATTAGTAAGCCCTGATGAAGAAATTAAATATTTCGAAAAGTTGGCATTACTAATTGTTTCTTTACCCATACTGACCAATCCTGTGAACTAATTTTATTATTGAAATAAAAGACATAAAAATGAATACATTAATAAATTGAATACATTAATAATTGAACTATTTCATTAAAAAACGTAAGAAAATGTTGAAGTACCCCGGGGTGTCCCAGTTCATGATGGAGAAAAACTCTTTTACACGCAATTTCGACCACATAAAAAGATCTCCACTCCAAACAGCAAGTTTTTGTTACCTAATTGAGTGATTAGTGAAATGCTTATAAAACTCACCATCATGTATTAAATATCGGATGTTTCGCAGGAGGAAGATTGAAGTATTAAGAAGAGAATGGTTACGGTGTTTTCGAAATTAAGTCTAATGCACCTTTTTCCTACCGAAAGCTATGTACGTAAATTAACTCGTTGACTGAAACTCATCTCTCCATGTTGTAGGTAGACTATGTGGACTGAAAATTTATTGATACTGAAGATTTATATGATAGTCACTTGAACGTCCTTTTAAGTTATGTTCCCAACTATACGCCCTCTCTGAGATAGAGCTAGCAATGTTTAGAAATTAGAAAATATTAGAAATTGAAGCTATCAATCTGTATACTAATTTCCTAAACTGCGTTTGTGATGCGTATAACATGCCAGTCAAATTAGAATAATTTCGGATCGTAATATTTGTATTTTGGTGCATTTATGTAACGTGTAATAAAATATGACTATTTTACGAACACAGGACAAATTTTCACGAAAAGCATTTTCGTGCATATTTGTTAGTTGGTCGATTCATGTTTTCTACATGCAGTATTCCAACTAGTGCAGTGCAACTAATATGTGGGGAAGTCAATTAGGCAATTGAGATGTCAGTGGAGAATGCGGACCAAGTTTGACAGAAAGATACCATGTGTTCCTCAGAACCTTTGCCTTCTTTACCTCGCAGTATCATTTAAAGCCGGAGCAGGACTGAACGGCTGACTGTCAGTCATGCAAGGCGCTGTGCTTGAGACCCTACTTGGCATGAACCGATGTGCTGTGCTCTGCAGGATGGGGAGCGGACACGCGCCGCCATGAGCGAGCTGCAGGCCACTGTGGAGTTCTCCGTCGAGCTCTACAAGTTCTTCAACGTGGACCTCTTCCAGCGCGGGTAAGTTACACGCTTCCAGCCCTTGTCCGCGCCCAATTACTTCCGTTCCGTGAGACTCGTTTCCGCGTCGAGGACCTGCATGTAAACAAATGAGTTCATAAAATTCTGAAGTAGAAGCGAGATAAGCGGGTACGAATGAAATAAGTCTAAGTAACACATCAGATTTAAGATTAAGATTTAAGATTAAGATTGTTGATGTCCTCGCATAGCTGAGTGTTAATATTGTTTTGATCGCTCTACACTTCGTGAACGGCAGGCTGAATGGGTCTGTTACGCGTTTCTGGTTAAGGGAAAAGGCAGATCTCTGCTCCCATCGTGATTCGAGCTCCGGCCAGCAGTCTCGTCTCGGATTCCTTGACACTTGAGCGGACACAGCTCCAAAATTCAACAGGGAACGAAATATTGAAAGTACTTCGTACTGGAATGTCTATAAACGTGTAATTGCACCCATTAACGCTTTCGTATCATGATTGACCTTGTTTCTCGACTCCTAAGATATCACCTTGTGTCTATTGGAGTTACTACTCCTGAACTCTTTTTAGGATTCTGGTATGAAAAGGAGTGGATTTTCTTTTTCATTTCTCTTTCACTGTATTTATTTATTTGCCTTTCATGTAGTGCTTAAATCATGTGCAAGTCTTCTACCTTCAAATTCAGTACTTATTCTAATCAAATGTTTTTCTCTTCTATGTAATTACGTTGTCTAGTGTGCCTCGGCACAAAAGTGTCTCGTACGCAAATAATGGAAAAATATATTTCAAAGAACATGCTTTTCTTTTCCTTCTGCATTTTACACATCAGGTGCAATACAATTCTTGTAAAGTTCCGTCCAGTATTTTGAGATTTTATTCTTATTATAAGTGCATGACGAGAATGCTGAAAATAATTTTCGTACACGTGGATAGCAAGTAGCAGAGAAACATGTACGGATTGCCATTTCGACTCCATTTAACGCCCGTCAAATGTATTCCCGATCTTCTTATACCTTCTACTTAGAAGTATATGAAAGAAAATATGAAACAAATTGCCATTTTTGGGCGTACTTTTGTGCAGTTTTCTGAATAACTACTAATCGATTTTCTCTCCTAGAAACCTCTTTTGCTACCATCATTAACTTCTTAACCACAGCAGAGTAAATACATTTTAATTAGATTAGAAGGCAGGGCATTACGCCCTGAGGAAGGTCGCAGAATGGCGACCGAAACGTCGGCACCTTCGCCATGTACGCGGTGTCACCCGGGCAACCTAGTAAATAAGACCAGAGCATGGCTTAGAAACATATTGATATATTTGTAAGTCATTCTTAGAAATTTTGGATAGTAACTGCTTAATTTATCGTCTCTTTTTCTGCCTACGTATACGTTATTTATCCTAAATTTCTCATAAATATTCTAATTGGGAGCACTGAAAATGAGGAAATATTTTCGAAACACGTTTAGTGTATAATCTGTAAATTCTTGATTTAATTCTGTGAAAAACAATAATTTATTACGAAAAATTTCTTCTGTTTACCGATCTTATTCAATCTGCATATTTATCTGTTTCGGTAAAAATGATTTGACAAACGACACAAAGAAGTGGATTTTAAAGGCTGAATTTCAGAAATGGGCTCTTGTTTCGAATACAGAATGGATCTTTCTTTTGAATGCTTATGATTTGCGATATTTGGTTTCTGCATACAATAAAAACATCGTGAGTGAAATTAAACAGTGCTTTCGTTTTGCATTTTATTATTGTACTAATTCCGTATTTGAAAGCGTGGAATTAGGAAAGAAACTGCTGTTTCACAACTCTGCATCAGTAAATGCGTTTTATTATTCAATCCACATAGTGACAAACGTTGAAAAATGATTGTTTTCTTTTCTAATCAGACAAGACATTAATTATTCACAGTAAATGGTACCTTCATATATAATGCTTGCAATTTCACAAGCAAAATTAATATTGGCTGAGATTTCATTACAGTTTTAATGTAAAGGAGGTAGGTATGCCATTGTTATTATGTAGAGCAGGGGTGCCCAACACGTTTGTTGAATCGACCCTTTTAAAAGAATTGTTTGGTTCATCGACTCCTTAATATTTTCCTCTTCGATATTTATCATTCAACTTAATCATACGCAAGTAATTGCACATACATTATTTAAAGGTAACAAATAGACAAAGAATATGGGCAAAAGCTTTTTAAAAATGGTTTATTAGATTCATATTTCATTATTTGTCGTGCCATTATCAGTTGTAAATTGACCAATGTCAACAAGTTTTCAAAAACAAAATCACACATTCTAATTGCATTTGATGAGTATTGTAATATTTTTTTTGTGTTTTATATTTGTACATAAATGGAAATTAATTGCTTTCGTAATCACAGATATCTCGATCTTCATTATACCTGACAGTCATCGAAATACATTGGAGTAGCGACCCCTTGATTAACTTTGCTCCCTTTAAAGTGTCATCGACCCTCAGAGAGTCGACACCAAGCCTCGTTGGGAACCTTCAGTGTAAACTAATGGAACATTAGTCGTTGAAACAAACTGCTCTGTGGGTCCTTAATAACGTTTTGCCGATTGCAAAACGTCCGCCCGTCTGGTATATGTGAACAACACTAGGACTTAAACTAGGCGTACGATTGTTTCCAAACTGAATGAACCGCTGGCTATTCGGCCTGAGTCTATGCACTGTGATTTTAAGAAACACTCATTGATTTTTAAAGATACGTTACAAGAATCCGCATGAACATTTCACATTTTTCTCAAAAATTGCTCCAAATTGGCTCCAAATTTGTTCTTTAAACGTTTTGTAAGAATAGGGTAGTATGCACTTACTAAAGTGGCGTATGTCCGATTTTCACTGTTACTCTGAATTTTTGAAAATTTGAAAAGTGTGAAATGTTATTGTCCTAAAACTACTAAAGACTTAGCGATTTGTTCAAATTAATGTTTTTTATAAGTTCATGTGCATTAAATAATGTCATATTCATTTTCTCTAAAACGCAACAGATTTCTATTCAAATAAGCTCAAAATTCCGCATTTTCAGAAACACTCAATCGCCATTTTCTAAAAAAGACACCAAATTTTTCCTTCAAATTTTTCCAACGGATAGTGCGAATTGCACTGTTTAAGGTGACATAGAATTAATTTTCCTGTATTCTTTTGCTTTTCCATAAATTTCAAAAATGTATTTTATTAAATATCTCTCACGTCTTTAATATTCACATTTCTAAACGTTATTGTATTTAGGACATGAAAGTACTTAAAATGACTTCAAATGACGTTTTTCGAAAACTCAATTGTTTTCTGTCAAAAGAGGTTCAAATTTCGCATTCACAGTAACGCTTAAACATCATTTTCTTAAAAATCGTTCCAAATTTTTCAATGGAAATTGTCTTCTAATACGAAATTTTCTTTTCTTTAATATTCTTTATGTAATACCTCGGTTCTATTTTTATAAAACCGAAAAAGAAAGAAGAAGTGAGAAAATTTCAAAAAAATATTCTTTGGCCGGCAATAGATGGCAGCTGACAAGAGAATGGGGCAAGTCAGAATTGCTAACCCAGACCAAAAAAAAAGTAGAAAACTTAGAAGAGAAGGTATGTGCCAATCTGTAGCACCATTAATTAAACCAATATTTTTTATAGTAATAAAGATTGTAATTGAAGAGTTTAGTATCAAAGTGACTAATCTTCCATGTTCGTTTATTTTCTAGTTTTACGTTTCAATATACATTTCAATTGCGTTCAACCTGTGTTAAAAGGTATCTCAAAGCCGTTGAATCCTATCAGGATCTATAAGGCCCAATGTGGATTCTTTCTCTTCCTAAAATAGTGTGTTTCATGGATGTACGTCACTTTAGAAATAATCTCTTCAATTATGAAGTCATATAATATTACTCAACGAAAAAATGGATTGCGATATAATTGTATCAGACGTAATTTTATTTTCTAAAGCGTGTAATAATTTGTAATAAAATGATAAAAAGTTGCCGACATTTCACTTATATAAGAAATTACATTATATAATTGCTTAAGTTAGTGTTCGCAAACATTTTCATTGACTCTTTCCTGCTAAGCGGCTTATTAGTTCATTTCCCACCACATCTTCCGAAAATGGCTTCGTTTTGTTCGAGATCCAGTGGAACTAGTCGCACTGTAGGAAGTATTGATGTGATTTGTAATACGTTACTATGTTTAAATATACTTCGATGCAAATTTAGTGAGTTGGCTCCTACAATTTTGCTCTTGCTACATCAATTGAAAGTGAGCCAGATCTCTCCTGGTCGCTCCCGAAGAGTGGGCTGCACCCTCGCGCCTGGCCCGATAGCTAGGCTTCCTGATTGAGGGAAGTCAGTGGCGGTGACTACTCAGACGAAGTAGGTCACTTCCCGCCGCCGCGTGTGTCTGCGTCCGTGCCGCCATTGAGTGAGGGGCGCAGGCGACGGGGCATTGCGCGTGGCGGTGCAAACCCAGTGGTGCACATCACCGAACCGAACCGAAACCTGTCTTCACGGCTCTATTGACTCCGTCTTGACAACGATCGACTTCCAAGAGATATATGTGTTGAAATTGGCTTTTGTAAATTAAGCTTTTGCCAAGTTTCTTAAAAGTGTAGTAGTGTTCTTTGATCGGTTATGGAATTATGAATATGAAATGTATTATCCAATCATTATTTAATGTTTCACAATGATGCCAATCTCTTGAATCTAGTCCTCCATGGATACAAGTTAGGTTATTGATATTTATGTATAAAATTTCCTAGGCATAGCCAAAACGTCTCTAAAGTATTTTATTTTTCAAAACAAGCAGAGGAGTCTTGATTTCCATTCTTCGGAACTAATGAATGCATGTTGTGAATGCATATTCTTCTTAACTATTTACAGAATTTGCGATGGTTTGGTGTAGAAGTAACTTGCTTCAAAAATTCATGTGATACAGTTTTGTTCCTCAAATTCTTTCAGTTCATTTGCACACAATAACACATATTAGCCTTTTATAGGACGACTTTTAAAAATGTGGGGTACTGCGGTTAGTCGCAGACACCGCGATGTGTGTACATGAAGATGGCCGACATTAGTTCGAGTAACACATGGGTACCTTATGATGGAAGCATTAAGATAGATTCAAACTTAATGTGTATGCATGTGCATCAGCGCAGGCGTGTTTATGCAATACTGCCCACCGTGACCGCATTGTTTGCTTATTTTTCATAAGAACTTTATAACACGACACTTTCTAAATTAATGATAAAAAACAAATGTCTACTTCAAGAATACCGTGTTAAAATCATTGTGTATTGTAAATCAAACCAAAGGTACTCATCATAATAACACGTATGAGTCATTTGAAGTTTTTTTAACAAAAGGTAATGTTTGGGATCAATATTTTGGTAAATATTAATGAAATAAGGGCCTGTTTTTGAAATATTAGAATCATACTATAAACGTTTTACAGTTTCACATGCTCAAGTGATATGAGCATTCTCCAGATGTGTCGGAAACTTGGAACGGTGACGTAAAAATATCTCAAGATGACGAATTAGCAAATGACATGTAAGACAAATATTCCTGTACGTTCTCCTGTCCGAAAGTTTTCGAATCAAATGAAAAGGCGGAGTTGCTGCGTGTAATGAGCGTCTTTGGTGGCGCTGGGTCGCGACCACTTGTTCTGAGCGCGGGCGCTCGCGTGCGCTGTTGCGAGTAATTGGCGCCCGCGTGCGCTGTTGCGAGTAATTGGCGCCCGCGTGCGCTGTTGGGGCGTGGGGAGGGGGGCGGCACGCGAAGTTGCTCCGCTGAGCTTTCCTGAGCGTTGCACTCTAGCGTGCGCTCTCGCCACGCTCTTGAGCTGCGCGCGTGAAAGAGAAGCAGCAAAGGCGGTGGCTCAGGCCGCCTCGTTGCTCGCCGATCTACGTTCTGTACATTCCGTTGGCGGTCGTCTCCTCGCCCCGCCCCACTCTGCTACCCCACGCCTCGCTCCGTACCGTTTCGCTCCGCTACGCCCAGACTTGCCCCTGCACGCCGAAACCCAGTCCGCCCTGCCCCCTCGTCGCCCTCAGCCCATCCTACCTTATCATCTCGTCCTCTCCCACGCGTATCCCCCTCTCTCCCCCTCTCCCCCCCTTTCCCCTCTCACCGCCTCCTCCCTCTTCCCCCTCTCCCTCCTCCCTCTCTCCGCCCCTCTCTCCCCTCTCCCCCTCTCTCCCCTCTCTCCCCCTCTCTCCCCTCTCTCGACCCTTCTCTCCCTCTTCCCCCCGCTCCCCTATCTTTACCCCCGCTCTCAGCCCGCGCTCTCACTCCGTACTCACCCCACTCCAACCTCATCTCCAATCCGTTTCAACCTCCATTCCATCCCATCCTGCCCACACTCCACCCTCAGCCCGCCCTCTTTCTACTCTTTCGTCATCACGCCCTCACCCCGTCCCGCTCTCTCCCGCTGAGTCGGGTTGGATGTGCATTGTTTAGATGAGCGATTTATACCGTATGCTACTGTTTAGTTAATTTCATTTTACCAGGTGCGTGTTTTAAGATAAAGTTCCCCCCACAAAAAGTGGCGGGTGAAATTCTGGATGGAAAACCCCGCATAAAAATATTTTTTCGTCATGGCGTACGCGCAGGCAAAAGAGATTTCCCTGTAAAATTTCAGTCAGATGGTGTAGTACCTTCAATAACTGGCCTCGTGCCGTGCTTGAAGCTTTCTCAGCATTGATCTCCATTCTACGTAGCCAACCCACGTGATAAGGAAGACTTCGGCAATATTGCGTATTCCTGGAGGTCAGACGCGAATTGGCTCATAAATGAAGAATTTCGTTGGAATTTTGATGGCGATTAAGCGGACTGTTACAGACTTAACGTTTGTGATTTTAACCCTGCACCGTTTCGTTTCGCAGTAGAAGCTTCCGTGTTTGAAATCCTCCACCAAGTCACGTGTTCCTCGAGTGTTCCCAATTTTTTTTCAATGTAATATACGAAGTTGCATTTCTTTTATGGAAATGGTGCATATTCTAAATGATTCACATGCCTCATTTACAAGCTCTTTTTTCTATCTCAATTTTCCTTTTCCAGCTTTAATCTTTTGTTTAGCCATTTAATTACTTTTTCCCTTTTTTTATTTGCATGTTTTTCTATCGTTCACTCCTCATTGATTCTTTCTTCTAAAGGTTCTCCGACCCCTTGAAAAAAAATTGCCGTCACCTCGTTGCTGTGGCTTTGCCTCTGCCCACACGCGCCTACCGGCCAACTCACGGAAACTCGCGAGCCTTACACGACATTAGCATATGGAGCCGCCACCCCCACGGCCTTCTCAATATGCATGCAAAATCGCGCGGCCTTCACGATATCGTTGGTTTGCATATAGATAAGAGATCGGGGGCGGAACGTGTTTTGCAGTTGTTTTGTTTATAAAAAATCTCGGTGAAAAATGTTCTATTACTGGGGCATGCCTACCTCCAATTTTTCCAAAATCCTTTGTTTAATGGTAAAATATCCGCACTGAAAATGCATGTTATTTCCTGAATCCTTCCATTTTTACCGAAACCGTGAACTCGGTCTGCTCGTGTCACATTTGATAATTTACATTTTCCTTACGAGGTAAATGCTATTCGAATGTATTTATGGCGGTGAAATAGCTTTATTCCATCGTGTAAATGAAAATTTCGAATAATGAATTGCAAGCTTAAACTGGTCTTCTGTAAGCAGGAAATTCTTAATAAATTCCTCATAGTTTCTCTTTCCTGACATCGGTAATCAATAGTTCTCCAGTTTCGAAATGTTTTTTTTAAAAAGTGTGTTGCATGCATCCAATAAAGATATGACCTTTGAAAACGATTGTAATTTCTACGTTTCATTGATATATAATTCTAGATATTGTCGTGTAAGGTTAGGACAAGAATGAATTGAGCAAATATTTGTCTGTTTTTTTGGGGGGGGTCAGTTATCAAACATACTTTCTTTGGGTATATTCCGGAAATATGTAATAACCCATGTAATATTTTCATTATCTCTAAAAGATGGCAGGCAACTTATTTTCTTTTTTCGCTTATATGTTTATGTTGTGAATAGTATATCCCCAACAAATATTTACTTCCTGAATAAACCATACACGAAAGATTGGGAATTTCTGTATGTTTCTTTTTGATTTATTTTTGTTTAAGGCCCTTCAGCTCCTAAGGTTATTGATCAAATGAGTGGATGATAGCGGTAAGAATGAGGCCAATGGAGACAGAGAAGAGACAGGGGAAGCGGGAGAACTCGGAGCAAACCTCCCGAGAACTCGCTTTAGCAACCACATGGGCTGGCCGGTGATCGAACCCGACCCCCAGCGGTGGAAGGCGGATGCTCTAATCATTGTCACGATCCCATCCCCGAATGTTGATACAGATAAAATCGCTAAAGCAGGATTCGTGCTGGCTTCATTATTCACGAACACTCGAATCTTTATATAAAAAACTGTTATTAGCTCCTACTCGTCTGCGGTCGTAAGTCGGCGGGAGAAGCCGGTAAAAATCAAGAATCATCAAATTTCTAGAAAGAAACAGAAAATTAGAGCTGAATAAATTATAATTTTTTCTGTCATGTTTCCCTCAACTTTAGTGCCTGTTTCACGAGAGTTTCGCTAGGAGGTTGTGCTTTTGCTAACCCTGCGGGGGTAGTATATAGATTATCTAGTGTTTGCGTGACGTCGTACGAAACAAAGTTTTTTACGATCTAATTAAGTATGTGATTTAATAATGCTGATGATATTTGTGTACCCTAGGAATCTAGCCATTTACAGTAAAATTGAGTTTATTTGGAGAACAGAAGATTACGTGGTTCCAATTAAATAGTTAAAAAACGCGTGAACTTATCCTACGTACTACTGCACTTACGTTACTTATTGTGCAAGTGGCTGGTCAGGAGAAACTCGATTCTGCACGGAATCTGGATATTGTGATTTATTACATAATATTTTCTCAATGCTCAGAATTTGGAAAATTTAAGTTTCATACGGAATAATAGTTACTTTGTGCATCTAATGTACTGACTATGGAGCTAAAATAATTTATTTATTCATAATTGAAGTGTAACAAAGAACTTGAAATACACACAGCTGCATTACATTTCACAAAATTACCCCAAAATGTATTTTCTGCGCTCCCTCCTCAGAGACAAATTAGGTCATCTAAAGGTAATATAACTCTAATTATTGTACGTGCAATATAAACAATTTTTGTCACTAACATGTGCATTAACAATGCCTGTAGATCACAAAAAACTCATTAAAATATTAAATTGAGGATGTTCCAACACGATAGTTCATTCTAAATGTTCAAGAAACCTGAAAACGTGTGCTGAACAGGAAGACATGTCTCTTAAAAACAATATTGGAAATATTAAAAAACCCATGTTGGTAATGTCGCAATTATATAACCGAAAACTTTTCATGAATGAAATACTACTATTTTTTCCTGTTAATTGAGTTTTTTTATTGTTCCCTGCAAAATGTTAACAGAAAAATGTAGAATTTGGGAAATAGTAGGAAATATGATAAGAAAGTTTAACTTTATGTCCAGAACAATGCATTTAAATGCAATTTATGATAACACTAATTGTCTCTGCATGTTCTTATAAAAATAGTTTCCACCGCTCGAATTTGTATTTTTGTAGAGTCACAAATCAAACATAACTTTTGTAATAATGGTATTGCCATTATTTGTATTCAAATTATGCATATTTCCTGGTCCCTCTAGTTTCATGTTTCTGACACTTCCTCGTTATATTTAAAATTGACTGTAACTTACCCGCTTTACGTCGACTTGGAATCGTTCCATGGTTCGATCGCTGGCTTGCCTTAAGCTAGAGAAGAGCAATTGAGGACTTTTCTCACTTTCACAGGAAATCTTACCGTGCCATGCGTTTAGTTTCTGTAACTACTCATTTCGACATGTGTTTCTAACTCGACTACTGCCCTATCCTTCATTTTCCATCTGTTCAGTGCCGGTCTTTTCGGCTCTTTTGCATGTAATCTTCTGTTCTGCAATAATGTGGATGGAAGTTCGGATGATCTTAACATTCTAATATTACCATAACCATATAAAATATATTATGGCATTCACATAATGCCGTAATACCAATATTTTTTGCTAAAATTTTGTCTAAAAAATGTATTCTATCATTCATTTCAAACTTGATGGTGCCCAACAAAATACTTTCTCGTACAATTTGTAACAATTAGGTAATATTGTAATATAGTATCTTTTGTTCTATTTACTTTTCAACAAGCGCTTGCGAAACTCCTGATCAAATAAAGGACAAGAGTTCTTAAAACAGATCTCAATTTTTTTGAAAATTCCAAATCTTTTACCATTGAATTCAGTGCTTTATTATCTATTTTTCAAAAGGTTTAGATATACAACACAGCTTATTAACTTTTATAATTGTTTGAGTTCAAACGTCTAAGACCACGTGGGTCATTATCCACTCACCTCTTTCGATGCCGTGTGTATTGCCCCCAATAAACTAATACAGTGATTGTGAACTCTAATAAAATTCTAATAATTCAACTTAAAGTTATTGAAAAACTACAAATATTTCGAAAAAATGAACATTAATATATTTGGAGATTTAATACTAATAAATAAGATTGTAGTATTAAAAAATAAAAAGGTTGCTTTGATATTGAAGGCGTAGGGCAGCTTTTGGTTACTCTTTTGAAGCTAAAACGTTTCAAGAAAAAAATGAGACATTTTTGAGAAAATATTGTTACTATTTGTTATTTGTCATGATTTTACACAATATTACGCGAAAACCACTTATGTTTTAAACAACTGTGCACCACATTATTTAAAGGTTTACTTTGAAGAAAAAATTTAATTTCTATTGTCAATGTACTTTAAGAAAAGATCAAAACATTCTAACCTTTTACAATTTTCCAAATCTCTGAGGATTAACGAAATTCGGACATGCACCATTTTTGTTAGAGTACTAGCTCTACTCGAGAAAAACAAAAACGTATGTGCCATTTTTGATACAATTTCAAAAACGTCGAAGGAACTATTTGCATAACGCTGCCAATGATCCGTTTCTAATTCGAGGGCTTTTGAATTCAAAAATACAGTGTAGGGTTTAGGCAATAGGGATTGGACCAGGGATTCCCAACGGTGTGGGTATCGACCCTCAGAGGGTCAATGGAAATTTGAAGGGATCGGTTGGGGGTCAATAGGCAAATAAGAACTGGCGACCAACCGCTACAGTTTTGATCAAGATCCAATTGATTAAATAAAACCATTAAAGAACTGAATATATAAATGTTTTATGATTTAAAACAACAGAACCTGCAATAATACATTCTCTTAATACGCAAAAGGTTCTTCAAACTGTAATACAATTCTCCAAACTGCAAATGGGGCGAGTTCTTACAAAACGGTCAGCATTTGGGAACCATTGAACAACAATGTAGATTACAAATTAAGCTTCTCGAAAACCGAAGCATGTATAAAATCGAGATATTTACAAAACTTCAGAGGCTTCCGAAAGTCGGGAAAATGCCAAGTATCTTAACATTAGCAGTATTACTAATAATCTAATTGAAGTTCATTTAAAATATTATTAATTTTGTGCCTTTTCGTACCTCACCCCACCCCACCCCACCACCACACCACCCACACCACCTCCCCACACCACCCCACAACCACCCCACTCCCCTCACCCACCCACCCCCACCTCCGTCACCCACCCACCCCAACTCCACCCACCATCAACCCAACCCCACACACCTCACCCCACCCCACCCACCCAACTTCAACGTCCACCCACTCCACCTCATCCAACCATCTTCTCATCCCAACCATCACTCACTCTCATTCTCACCTCACTTAACTTCACCTCATCCTCACCCAACCCCTCACTCCCCATTATCACCACTCACATCATCCCACCTGGCCTCGCACCCCGCAGCGTGATTGACGTTGCGGCGTAGGCGCGCAAGTGCCGCGGCGGTCGGGGCGCGAGGGCGAAGGCTTAGAAGAGCGTTCTTATTCAGAAACGAAGGTGCGAACACGCGAACACCGCACGCACCACGCAGCTTTCTGCTCCGCCCACCCCCTGCGCCCACAGCAGGTCTCTGCCTTCCGCCCATCGACCATTCGCTCCACCTCTGCTTCCGCCGTGCCTCCGATTCCACATTCAGTTTTTCAGCCCTTCCCTCCCCCCCGGCTCTAGCGCTCTCTTCCACCACGCTACCACGAAGCCCCGCCCGGCCTACTTTCCCGCTTTCGCCTCCGCAATTCCTACCCTCGCCCCCGTCGCCTCCGTGCTTGCCTCCTCCTTCCCGGTCCCCGCCCTACTCACGCCTCCGCTGCCGCTTCGTTTGGAATGACCCCAGCTGTTCACAGCCCTCGCTCCTTTCGTCCGCGTTCCTGGAATCGCTTCGGAGGAGACTGGTACAGGATGTGGCTTTGTTAAATCAGCCGTCATCGCTGTAAACGACTAGCATTCGTCTTTGTAAAGGATCATGGGCATTGAGGAAGGGGCGATTTTGGAGGTCCGACATGACGAAGACAATAATCCGCCTAGTTAAATATTTTTCAATCTTACGTAGTGTCTTTTTATTCATGATTCTTTTCCAATCATTTTAGTAAATAACAATATTCGATTTTGAAGTGGAACTGTAGTCAAGTCGTCGAAATTATTAAAGAGTGTAGCTGGATATTACATTTAAAACTGACTAAGCCAAATACATTTTGAAGACTGACTGCTAATTTTGAGTCACAATAATCGGTTAAAACGCCGTCTTGTTGGGGTATTGGGGACAACCGTTTGGAACTTATCATTAAATAAAACATTTTCAAGTAGTTTTTACACGAAGGGGCGCAGTGCCGGTGCGCCGTTTTGCAAGGGGCGAGGCTGCATCCGACTGGGAGGAGCGGCGACATTTCCGGGAGCCGCTGCCAAGCGCGACGGCGGAGGCCCAGGCAGCGGCAATGGCGTCCTCCGCTACCGATCCTCTGAGCGCACTTCCGGCGTGTGCCGGCGGGTGGCCAGAGCGCTACACGGTTCGACCGTCGTGCTCCGGCGCGCAGACACGCGCTGCAGGGGCACGCCTTCGTGAGCGGGGCGCTCCAAATTGGGATTGGGATGCTATTTTAGGAAGTTACTTTTTTATCAAGTATTCTTTTTCATTCATCTCAATTCCGAAAGGAAAAGTGAGCAATTGTGAGTACTTTGTACTTTACGTATTTCTTGGGTTTCATTAATTTTTCACTAAGGAAAGTAATCTTACTTCCAGTTCCTACCATTACAGTGAACCGTTACTCTTTTACTGTGAACAGTTTCTCATATAGAATCTGAAATATATATTTTAAACAACATGGTATTGAAAGTCAAATATAATTATAACACATGTCTAGCAGATACCAGGCACAAAGACAGTTTCGACATTCCATTGTAAAATTTTCATAACTGTATATTATTTCTTTAAAAAATTAGTTTTTCCTTGCATTTGATCATTTTCATCAATTAGAATCAATGATTGAGGTGTCTAAATTTGTATCAGTATCAGTTTCTTCATATTGCTTCAGAGCTCTTTTC